GACGTACCAGGCTGTGCTAGTCGGGGGGTCCGACGCAGGGCTGAACCGGAGACGGAAGAGGTGATTGAGGTGGCGGTAGCAGCGAGCGGTGGTGTTATCGAGACGGTCGCAGATCGTGCCGTGGCGGGGGCCGGACTGAAGCTGGTACTGGCAGGTCACCGCAATTTAGCCGCCACCTGACACCAAGTTGCGCGGCCCACTACCACGACGACCACCACTAGAGCCTTCAGGCCACCACGGCGGCGGGGGTCCCCACGGCTACTGCTGCTGCTGTCGCGACTGCTGTTGTTGCTGCTAGTGGTGCTGCTGCTGCTGCCGCTCTTGCTGCTGTGAAGGGGCATGAGCCCCTGTCCTCTTGTCTGCACCACCGTCCCCTCCACCACCTCCGCCACCCCTGCCACCCCCGCCACCCCTCCCGCCGCCACGCCCCCCTCGGACCCGGCATCCCCTACCCTGACGAGGTTGTGCTGAGACCACCGCGGCGGTCTCAGCAGCAGAGGTCGTCTCAGCAACAGCGGCAGATACGTCAAAGTAAGTGCATTGGAAGGGAGCATAACGCTAGAAGATAGGGACCGCTGCAACACCGCTCGAATGAACGATAGTGCGTTGGCGGGTCTCTACCACGGACTGGGTAGTGACAAAGTCAGCAATGGTGAGGTTAGCAGGGTGGAGGCCACAGAAGTAGAGGGTAATGAAGGTAATGAAGTAGAGGGTAGCACCGAAAGGGGGAGGCAGTACAAGGAGCTGAGCCCCAGTGCTAGCAACGTAGTAGCTAGCCTCTAGCGCATGCAGGTGAGTGGCGAGATCAGCGACAGTAGGAAAGGACGCAAGGTCAGGGAAGAGTAGGCGGAGATGAAGACGGCCGGCAGAGACAGAGGAGGGAGTGGAATAGCGTGCAATGATGGCATTTAAGTACTCCTTTGCAGTCTCTAGGGCCTAGTAGCAGGGGCACTCAGACTGGGGAAGGGCGTGACTGATAGCAAGCTGTGCAACTACGTCACGCAACTCTCAGACAGAGAGGGCGAGCTCAGCAGCTACAAAAGCCTTATGCTTAGCAGGAGTGGGGGGGGTCTGAGAGGGCAGCAGGCGGGTCGGGGCAAGGGATCTTACCGTCGACGTGGACGGCCAGAGACTGGCCATCCTGGTGCTATCCCCTCAGCAAGTGGCGGAGGTCGGTAAGCCATGCTTCAAAGCCGATCGGCTGACCCTCCGCATCCAGGCGGAGCACATCGTCCGCCATCGACACCGCTATAGCAATTGACGAGGGCACAGTGGCATGACGGCACGGCGACACGGCGGCACGACGGCATGGCGACACGGTGGCACGACGACATGGCGGTCCGGCGGCATGGCAGCACGGTGGAACGGCGGCACCGCAGTACGGTGTCACGGCGGCAAATAAAGATTGTGGGGAGATGGGGCCGGCAAGAACAGGGGCCGGTACGAACTAGGGCCGGCTCGAACGGGGGCCGCCGCGAACAAGGGCCGGCGTGAACTGGGGCCAGCGAGCTAGGGCTGGAGGGCTAGGGCTAGCGAGCGCGCGAGGGGCGGCGAGGGAGCTAGGGCCGGCAAGCGAGCTAGGGCCGGCGAGCGAGCTAAGGTCGGCGAGCGAGCTAGGGGCCAGCGGGCTAGAGCTCGGGCGGCGCACGAAGGGCCAGCAGCGAGCAAGGGGCCAGCGGGCGAGGGCTCGCGCAGCGCGCGAAGGGCCAGCGGCGAGCTAGGGGCCAGGGGGCAATCTAGGGGCCAGCGGCGAGCTGCGGGCTAGCGACGAGCCAGGGGCCAGCAGGCGAGCTAGGGGCCAGCGGTGAGCTGCGGGCCAGCAGCGAGCTAGGGGCCAGCGGGCTCGTGCAGCGCGCGAAGTGCCAGCGGCGAGCTAGGGACTAGGGCGGGCGCTAGGAACTAGGGGCCGGTGCGGACTAGCGGGGCCCGCGCAGAGGGATGAGGCTGGCGCAGAAGAACGGGGCCGGCGCGGAATGGCAGGGCCGGTGCGAAGTTACTAGCGGACTAGCAGGGCCGGCGCAAACTAGCGGGGCTGGCACGAAGTGGCGGGGCCGGCATGGACTAGCAGGGCCGGCGCGGACTAGCGAGGCCGGCACGGAGGGACAGGGCCAGTGCAGACTAGGGCGCGGGTGCGGGCGCGGCTCGGGCACGGCTAGGGCTAGGGCACGGGCGCAGCTCGGGCGCTGCGCGGCGCGGCGAGGGCTAGGGCGCGGGCGCGGCTAGGGCTAGGGCACAGCCAGGACACGGGCTAGGGCTAGGGCTAGGGATGGAAGCGTAAGCGGGGAGGGGGACCTAACCTAGTGTGGTACCATCTCAGAATAACGCAATGACTAGAATGAGGCATACGGGCAGGTTTTGTGCTATGGTGTTGTACTCTCTATAAGCATGCGCCTATCTAGCCTACAATAATATATAAATATGTTGACACCACCTAGCCATCGGCTCGGCATGGTCCGCAGCCTCCTCTGGGTAGTTGCTCCCTATTCTCGGGCCTACCCATTCTCTCATGGCACCTCTTTGTCGACTTGGTTCGCGTCAATTGGAGTTGAAGAACATGTGGTTGGCCAGATCATAGGGCATGGCCCATCCTGTGGGTTTGAAGCAGCTAGGACTAACGTAACCAATATGGCAACAAGTAGGTATGCTGCTGCTAGAAGTAATGTCGTTAATATGGGGAACAAGCGTGTTGTCGTGCGAAGCTCGTCTTCAATCATGCGTATGGTGAGAGGCGCGAGTGATTCGGCTTCCTCCATAGGGTCAAGGCGAATTCCAACCTTATTGCTGATGGAAATGGCAGGTGTCCTGCAGGTGCGGCAGATCTCGTCACGGTCAAGGTCATGAAGGTCCATCTCTGATAGATGCGGATGATGTTTGACGCCTATGTCTCTCTCGGGTTCCAGGAGAAGTCACGGGGGACGAGATCAATGAGCTCGTAATTGTCATCGTTACAATTAGGCTTGTCGAACTCTAGGGCGTACACTCCATTCTACGGTGTAGCCCGACCCTAGTACCGTGACTGCTCTGGTTGGTAAGGCACGTTTTAGTGAAGGGTAATTTCTTGAGTGGACCTTCAGCACCACGATGCCCTCAAGCATTGGTTTTGAGCTGCTCGTTGTTGGCCACATTGATGTAGGTGGTTTTGGAAGTGGCGACAGCGTTGGAGATATACCAGCGCAAACCCAGCATGTGTTGTCCACAAGAGCTATCAAGTTACCATGCATTGTATTCTTATAACCATCGCGAACGAGGAGCGTACGATTTGGAGTCAGCAAGTACGGTCGATTGGAGTGATGCAGAAAGTGATCTGGTGGGAAGTTGTCAGCTTCTCTCCAATATGATGCAATTGTCAAATCGATACGACAAGGTGGGTATTTGAGCTATGGAATCTGCAGGTTCCAGTCTTGTTCAATTTTGACATAATTATAATTACCTTCGAGAGTGTTGGGTTGTTGTGCTCGGTGTCAAGAATTTCGTCCCACGGTTGGTTGGACGGGGGAGTCATCGGATGTATCTAGCGTCGATTTGCGCGCCGAGCTGACGCATGATGCCCCATCGCCATGAAGTTCATGACGTGGCATGCAGGTTCACCATTGTAAGTGAGCCTTGGTTGGCGAAGATTCAACATCGTAGGCGAAAACGCAACAGGTTGCTTGTCTGCTTGAATGGGCAACCGGTCGGGCGCGGATTCGAATGGGGAAGGTTCACGTGCCTTCTGTGCTGGGGAGGTACTAAGGGTCCGTCGTGATGCGGAGGGCTAGTTGGAGGTCAGGCGTTGGAGCGAAGATTGCATCGCTCAGTGGAGTGCTAGAAAACTTTGCAGAGTTTGCAGAAGTAGCAGCGATTACACTGGTCGCAGCGGGGCTCCTTTTGGCCATAGTCGAATGCCAAATCTTCATTGCGCCGTGTTTTTTTACTTATAGAGATACATATCTTGTTGCTCCGCCAGCAGAGTCGCACAGAGCTTGGCTTCGGAGATTGCTACTTGCTGTCGCAGCAGGGCCTTACAGGGGCGCCACTCGAGTCCGAGGTCGGCGCGGACTATCATGACGAAGATGTCACCGCCAATGCTATTTCCGTGCTTGACGATCGGATCATGGATGTTGCGACAACGGTTGATGTAAGTATTGACATTTTCTCCACGAGCCATTTTTACTTCCATCATTTGCTGGACGAGGCGACTCGACGACACGGACTCTCTCGACTGGTACAAACTGTTTACATCTAGGCTTTGCGTGCCAGAACAGTATGGATCTTGAAATGACTAAATCCCCAGTTGTTCGGTTGAGGACACGTTGCGCAGGAGGACGTTGTGGGCCACCAACAACTCGTTCTTAAATTGTGATTTAGCTTCATCCGTGTTGATTGGTGCTTTCAGATAAGCGCCGTCGAAGGAGCATAAGATTTAGGCGCCATGCAGGATTAATTTGAATTCGAAGATCTATGTATAGAAATCGTGGCCATCAGATTTTGTGTAGGTACTGATGTGTGTGGCGACGAAAAAAATCGGTTGGACAGACTCCAGAACATGCCGTTATTGGTATTCGATGTATACATCATGTATCATTTTTATTATCCAAAGCAGCTTTTTAGACTGCTGGTCACGAGCTGAGCATTTCAGATTGCAATTTGCAGTTCACCCACCACTCTGGCTGCAAATTCTGAATTCATGTCCATGTAAAGTGTACTAGTTCCATATACCATAGATTTTGGAAGTGGAAGTCAAAGTGTTGTCCTTGTTGAATGAATGGTTCATGATAACTATACAGCGAATGCATTGTTACGATTGCGGGCCCGGCGACTCCCACACGATTCCTTCGTTGTAGTCGATAGCCGCTCACTCGCCAACGTACTGGTAACCTCATGCCGCATCAGAATGGTCCGTGCGAGCATGAAATGGAATCGACGCCCGTCGCATGTGCGAGCTTCCGTGGGCGACTACGTCGCACGTCAGGGAAAAGGCCAAGCAGCACTCCCCCAACTGCCATTTTTCACTCCTTCGCGCCTCACTTCCCTCCTTGATCCGTCAGGGTTTCGTTTGGTTCAGTTTTGTCCCTCTCCTTCCCTCCCTGCTCTGAACAATCCTCACAAGCAACATCCCCCTCACTGCTCTCACACCTAGCCCAGCAGCAAGATAGGACGCTCGGTTGTTAGGTTTTCTGATCCGTTCAGGACGGGGAGGAAGTAGGGAGTTTCTAAGCTGAGCTTAGACAAGACGTTAGTCTGCTTCGCTTGCCTCCCTGCTTGGTAGACAGGGACGCAGGAGGAGTCGAAAATGAGTACAGCGAATAAGTTTATCAAATGCGTTACCGTAGGGGATGGAGCGGTGGGTAAAACGTGCATGCTGATCTCCTACACGAGCAACACCTTTCCTACTGTAAGTTAGTCAAGTCGACCGACGTCTAGCGAGCTGTTCCGGCTACCATTTGTGGCGCTCGTCGGCGTGTTTCCCGGTTCTTACGTTTCTCGTAATGTCCACTTAGTTAGCGAACATTGAGCCTATTTGCGATGGTTATCGTTGGTGCAGGACTACGTCCCTACCGTCTTTGACAACTTCAGTGCCAATGTGGTGGTGGATGGCCAAACCGTCAACTTGGGACTCTGGGATACAGCAGGTTAGTCGCAGCTCCTAGTGAATATTGGGTACGGCTATATTCAATCGGACTATCAGGATTACCTTTTTTACCGTTCGTTTTCTACGTACTGACATCGTAAATGTTATCGATGGAACAGCGGTCCGATCTATTGCAACGAGATGTCCTGGCGTTTCACCGTCCGTGATTATTTTGCTGTAGCGCGTGCACTCAACTTCTCTATTTCGTTTTTCACCTTTCCCTTGTCGTCAGGTCAAGAAGATTACAATAGACTACGCCCTCTGAGCTACAGAGGCGCCGACGTCTTCCTTCTTGCGTTTTCACTCATCAGCAAAGCCAGTTATGAGAACGTCTCAAAGAAGGTGTGTCGTTGTTTCCATCGCCGTGTCTGGTCCGCTTAAAGCATGCAAACCAATTTGCAAAGGAAGGTATTTAAGTTTGGTTTAATATTTTGTGGCACTATGCTTTAGCAAGTCCGTGAAGACCTGAGGGGCATTTGGGAGAATGAAAGGCAGTGAAGCAATGTTAGCCCCGGTGTACAGTTTTGTAGCATGTCGAGCATTAGTGAGATGCGGACGCAAGTTATCAGTTTGGTCTTTTACCAAAGGACGAACGTGACAACTTATTGGTCTGGTCCGGCACCTTAATTCCTCATTTTCTCCTCACCTGTCGTCTCGAGCAGTGGATACCGGAGCTGAGGCATTACGCTGCGACCGTCCCGATTGTCCTCGTCGGCACAAAGCTAGGTCAGCCGTTCAAGCATTTGTTCTCGTTGGCTAACTTGGGCCGATTGTCTTCGCGTCAGCTTCTGTCGGTTTGGTTTGGTACAAGATGTAGCGTTCAGCCCATTGAGATAATACTACTCGCTTCCAGGCGTCAAGCTTTCCCTTTTCTTCCCCGTCTGTCCTTTTCATGTGCGATGGTTACAGATTTACGAGATGATTCACAATTCTTCAAAGAGCACCCAGATGCGACACCAATCAGCACCGCCCAGGTACTTTGCTCTTTGTTGACACCCGTCAGAATTTGCAAGCGGGTCCGACCTAGTTTGGATGTTTCTTAAGTGCAAGCTTTCACGTCTAACCGGGTGGAGCTTTTTCTTGCGGCTTCAGGGTGAGGAGCTGAAGAAGGTGATTGGTGCAGCAGCTTACATCGAGTGCAGCTCGAAGACGCAGCAGGTTCGTCAATGCAACTCTCCTTGTTTCTGTCGTGACGCCTTCTCTGTGCAGCTCTGATGAGGGACTTTTCTCTGCCGTTTGTTCTCTTGTTCAGCTTCTTCCCATTCTTTGCCAAAGCCATTTGAATTGTTTTCTGCAGATGGTAGCGTTGTGAATGGTGGTTTCTTCAGGTCGGATGAGCAGTAGCGGATGTTTCGGGTCAATTCGAGTGTTCCAACATCTTCTGTTTCTTGCCATGTGTGAACCTTGCCTTTTTGTCGGTGCAGAACGTGAAGGCTGTTTTCGACACAGCAATCAAGGTGGTTTTGCAGCCACCGAAGGCGACGAAGACGAAGAAGAAGAGTGGGAAGTGCGTCATCAGCTAAGCCAGGACATTCCACCACCGCGACCAATCTCTTCTCTTCATCCTCGTCCTTCTTTCTTCAGTCGACTCAAACGCTGGCCTTTGCCAAGCTATTTGCTGGCTCAGGTTTGGTGCAGGATGGTGGCTTAAATATCCTTCAAGAGGTATACAGCTGTAGGGGAAAGAATTGCGAGTGGGGCGACATGAGTGGCAGTCAATGGTGTGGGGGGGGGGGGGGGGGGGGGGGGGAGGAGCTGGAAGAGTGAGGAGAAATTGTTGGGAGGGCGAGGATGTTGAAAGTCAAGAGAGTGAGGGGGCAAGTCTGAGGTCTCAGGAGTAAGTTTAATGGGTCTAGGCTTAGGATTTTACTTCATTTGTTATTATGATCCAACTACAGCATGCTTGTGACGGATCTGCGGTCTTTAGCTTTTGTGTAGTCTCAAACCGATGTGGTAAGGCAGGCTGGGTTCTATCATGCCTTGTGTAAGTTATAACATTGTACGCTTTTTCTGAACATCGCAATATTTTCGTGTTCAGGGAAAAGGTATTTCTGGGTATAGGAAGTGCTACAAGTACGAACTTCATTTATTCCACCGCTTTACTCGAACCAGGCTGCCAGGTTCGGAGAATGGTCCCAGCTTCATCCATTTCGTTGAGAGGTAACTATCTGGTACAGTGTGACAATCTCGAGGCGATTTTGTGACTGTAAGGGTGAAGGGCTTTTGGTACAGTACTAGCAAATGCCGAACCACATTTGACTTCCGGATTTCAAGGACCTATGGATGGAAAAGCGGAGGTCAGTGCGATGGTGGTGAGTTTGACCATGAGCTTGGCGGTCCCACCGAAAGAAAAAGCTTCTGCTGCATCTGGCTGGGAAAAATTTAATGTTGAGGAATAATAATTCGTAGGAGCTCTGGATTAGGTCATTCTACACCGGACTTTTGTCGGTGCAGGACTTGTATTTGCTGCCGAGCTGCTCAAGCGAGGCCTAGGGATCTGAATTTGACTCGCCGCGCCAGTGCTCGAGCCTGTGAGCAGTGAAACGTCGATTTGACTTGCTGTGGAGTTATCAAGGTTGAACTAAAACTGCTTGTTCCTCCTCTCTAGGCCAGCTGGCCATCTTCTTGACGATTTGTTCGTGTCGATTAACCAGTGCTTTGTCCAGAGACAATGAAATCTTCGTAGCAAGTCGTTGTCCTTGGTTACTCTCAATCAATTCGTTGACTAACCGTAGGACAGTGTGGGCTGCAGAATACTGCTGCGTCTAGGCCGATCTGAGCTGGGTTCGTAGATTCGGTTCTTATAATCGATTCTTAGGTTCTGCACTGCAATGACGTTACTCGACTTGTCGGCGGAAGCCGTACATACAACAACCCCTGCCAGCACACAGGCAGACGCCGAAGCCGTTTTGCAGAAAGGCTGCGGCGAGTACGGGTACGTCAACTACCAGCGACGATTGATGCGGTCGTTTTAGTACTTATTAACTTCGGCTACGAGGGTCCGAGGGTCGGCGAGTCGTTTTATTACAAATACCTTTCGGCTTCAAGGGTCCTGTTGCACTTAGTTCGTCCGAAGGGATCAGGAAAGGATTTCCGCGAGTGCCTTTTTTAACTCACTCTATGACGTTCTGTGTTCTTGTATTTGTACAGATGCGCACACTATCGAAGACGATGCAAGATCAAGGCTCCGTGCTGCGACGAGGTGTTTGACTGCCGACACTGCCATAACGACGCCAAAGTGCGTAGCTGCTAAAACAATCAGATCTGCGGAAGATAGCAAGCCTGCTGAAACAAGCAGACTTTGTGAAACTAGCAGATCTGCAGGGACGAGGCTTTTTTCGGGTGAAGATTTTATTTGCTGAGAGTTGACGACCGTGCTTCTTATCCAATCGAATTCGTGTGCTTGGGTGCGAGCAGAGTCATTCGGAGGACAAAGGCCGCCATGAGATTTCTCGGCATAAGATTGAGCTGGTATGCGTGACCATTGGCCCCTCTGGCGCATCCATGGGTCTCTGTTTTTCTTCCCTTCTCCCTGTTGTCGACTAAGAGTTCCACGACTCATGATCATTCAAGCCTGCCTTCTTCCCTTCTCTCACTGCTGCTTACAGGTGATTTGCTCCTTGTGTGCAACCGAGCAAGAGGTGAGCGGCACACATGTTCTCATTGGTCAAGGGGAATGGGATAACATGGGCCTAGGTGGTTTCTTGACCATTGATTGATCGGAAGTGCGACATCGTGAAAGCAGGAGAGATTTGATTTAGGAGCATGTTTGCTGGTCTTTTCATTTCTTCCTCTTGTCTTCATTTCCCACATCGCATGTCACTCCCCGCCATGATCTTCAGGTGCAGCAAGTATGCAAGGCGTGTGGAGTGTGCATGGGACGGTATTTCTGCAGCAAGTGCAAGTTCTACGATGATGAGGTGTGTCCCTGTGTGTGTGCCTGACTGATGTCCCAACCCATCCCAACCCATCCCATTTCATTTCATTCCAATGATTGTCTCTGGAGCTCGCCAACCTTCCCAGTACGATGGCCTGCCTGCTCTTTCTCATACTTACTACTTATTTCTTGTGCAAGAGCAGGTTTCAAAGGAGCACTTCCACTGCGACGAGTGCGGCATCTGCAGAGTTGGTGGCAAGGACAAGTTCTTCCACTGCTCCAAGTGTGGTACGTGCAGGTTGCATCATCTCAGCAAGTTTTGCTCTCACCTTGTATGTGATATTTTATGTGTCTGCTCCAACCTTCCAGTCCTCGCCTTTCGCCGCCCATCCCTCTCATTCTCGTTCGCGGCTCACCCTTGTTTCACTGTTGTGCTGACTTACTACTACCCCTTGCGCTGTCACCATACGTCTCTCCCCGCAGGCTGCTGCTACGCCACTTCCTTGAGAGAGGATCACCGCTGCGTCGAGAAATCCATGCACCACAACTGCCCCGTTTGCTTCGAGGTGAGCAGGCTGGCGTTGTGACAGGATCCCGCTCTTCCGCACCATGCCCCTTGGTGACTTTTGATTTTGCAGGGTGTTTTTGAGAATTCTCAAAAACACCCCTTGGTGACTTTTGAGGCGACTCAAAAGTCACCTTACTGAGCGGGCTGCCGTTGTGACAGGATCCTGCCCGCACTTCCTCAGCATGGCCCTTAAACAGCGCCACGCCTTGCCCCCTGTAACATGGACATTTCAACGTCCTGCGCTCGCTGCCTGTGTTCCCATGCCTCTGGCAGTTTCTGTTCGAGTCGTTGCGGGAGACGTCAGTGCTGCGGGAGTGCGGGCACACGATCCACACGGAGTGCTTGGACGAGCTGAGGAAGCACAACAGGTGAGCGAGGGCTTAAGTAAGGGCTTTATGCGAGGGCTTCAAGCGAGGGGCAAGGGAATGTGGGCACACGATCCACACGGAGTGCTTGGACGAGCTGAGGAAGCACAACAGGTGAGCGAGTGGAGGGCATCAGAGAATGAAAAGGAGAGAGGGTGGGCTCTGGTGGAGGTCTTGATTCAGCATGCCCCATCCGCATGCCCAATCCGCATGCCCAATCCGTATGCCCCATCAGCATGCCCCATCAGCATGCCCCATCAGCATGCCCCATCAGCATGTCCCATCAGCATGCCCCATCAGCATGCCCCATCAGCATGCCCCATCAGCATGCCCCATCAGCATGTCCCATCAGCATGCCCCATCAGCATGCCCCATCAGCATGCCCCATCCGCATGCCCCATCAGCATGCCCCATCAGCATGCCCCATCCGCATGCCCCATCCGCATGTCCCATCCGCATGCCCCGTCAGCATGCCCCATCAGCATGTCCGATCAGCATGCCCCATCAGCATGCCCCATCAGCATGCCCCATCAGCATGCCCCATCAGCATGCCCCATCAGCATGCCCCATCAGCATGTCCCATCAGCATGCCCCATCAGCATGCCCAATCAGCACGCCCCATCAGCATGCCCCATCATCACGCCCCACCAGCTGTCTGTCTTTATCGGTCACATCATGTTGCGAGTTCTGTGTGTGTGCAGGTACGCATGCCCCATCTGCTGCAAGACCATGTTTGACATGTCGCGAGTGTGGGCCCAGCTAGACCAGGAGGTGAGCAGGGACAGCAGGGTAACCCAGGAGATCAGCACAGGCAGCAGGGAGTGGGACCCAGAACACATGCACTGTGACTTGGATATCCAACCTGGATATCCAACGGCCACCCACATCACACACTCCTGTGGGAGTAGTGCAGGCAGCTCACGCTCTCCTCTTCTGTGGGAGTAGTGCAGGCAGCTCACGCTCTCCTCTTCTGTGGTTTCTTGTGCGCCGTGGCAGGTTGCCGCAACGCCCATGCCAGAAGCCTACCAGAATCAAATGGTAACTCCTGTATCTACTCTGCTGCCTTTTCGTCCTGCCACTTCGCCTTTCCTTCGCCTTCACTTATCTGTGACTTTCCCCTCATCTTCTGGTTTCCGTGGGGTTCAATCCCCCATTCTGTGCTTACACCTTTTCCAATCTTCATCCTTTCCGCCATTGTTCCCCCGGCTTCCCACCAGACCCCCATCCTGTGCAACGACTGTGGGGGCAGCGGCTCTGTGCCTTTCCATGTGGTGGGGCACAAGTGCCCGCACTGCGGCTCCTACAACACGCGTCAAACACAGTAGCACATGTGCGGCCCCCACTGTGGTTCCTTCAATACTCGGCAAACACACTAGCAGCAGGGCACGCAGTGCAGCGGACACGATGGGCTAGGGGGTGGTGGATGGGGCTCTGCAGCTGACTGACATGGTGCTTGCTGCACCACCCATACCATACAGACAGCAGACAGTGCACTACAGACAGAGTGAGGCATTGTGCAGCAGTTGCCAGGCATGCGTGCGGCATGCGCACGTGTATCTACCAGCTCAACGGGGCTTCCAGTTTTGTGTATACTCTGCTTCATGCATCCCTGCATCTGTCAATGCATTTATCCCATCGTCAACCCCATCTCTCCAGTTCGCATCTCACTTCGTGCATCCAGCCACTCATGCCAGCAAGCCTTGTGGGAGGCACATGTACAGGCAGCATCTCAGCCTTCCACCGAAGCATGTCTCGGAATGTGCAGTCTTTAATTTAGTTTGATGCCAACTACCTTCGAGGTTCTTAATTCACATAACTTCTGTACGTTCTGTAATATTTGGCCTGGTCTCATGACTATCAACAAAGTTCGTGATAGGGTGGGAAGGTGTTCATGCCGTGTGAGGGTGGGAGATATGGGACCTGGGCTGAAAAGTGGCAAACAGGTACCCCAAAACAAAACGCTCCCAGGTGGGCTTGAACCACCGACCTTATGGTTAACAGCCATACGCTCTAACCAACTGAGCTACGAGAGCTGCTCTCATTTCCATAAAAACAATTGTAGTCAAATAAAAGTTTCAAACGCTCTTTCGCTACCATCAGAATTCATTACGAGTGACGGGCGGCCATGTGGGAGGAAGGCGTGTTGCTCCATGGGGGGGGGAAGCGGTGGCGCCACGGCAGGGTGCGCGAGGACGGCGTACCGCAATACATTCATGATCGGCTCATGCTGCTGTGCTACGAAAACGACCCGCTACACCTCACCCCCGCTATAGACAACCACAGGTCCGCTATAGTCCACCCGAATCTCAACTCTAGTCAACCCAGAATGCCACTGAGCCTTTCGGGAATTCGGACGAGCACGCGGTAGAAGCGGCTCGACGGCGTGTGTTTGGTGCATCCGTCATGCAGTGTCCTCTCCGTAATCAGTCAGCCATAGCGACTGCGTATTATTGTCCCTCCCTCACCCCTCATTACTCCCCCTCCCTCTCCCCCCACCCCTTACCACCGCTCTCTATCTCTCTCTATCTTGCTCTACCTCAGGTACATCGGGGTAATGACGGAGGCAGCACGCATATTCGCTCAGACGTATGCCGCCGACGTGCTTTTGCTTAACTTCGGGCCTCCCCTTCCCCATGCCGAGCTCTACTCGCTCTTCAACAAGAACGTCTGCGAGGTGAGAGCTGGAGGGGAGATGGTAAGAGTGGGCAGTAGGTGGTAAGATCTGGTAAAGAGTCTGGTGTGCTCTCCCTTTCCCGATGCTGAGCTCTACTCGTTCTTCAATAAGGACTTCTGCGAGGTGATGGGTGGTAAGAGTGGGTACGAACGGGTAAGAGTGGGTAGTGGGTGGTAAGAGCCGGTAGGGAGCCTGGCGTGCTCTCTGATTTCTTCCCCTCCTTATGCTGAGCTCTACTCGCTCTTCGATATGAACGTGCCACGTGTGTGGGAACTTTTTAAACTAGTGTAAGGCTTGAAAGCCAATGGCCCTAGCCCCAATAGTTTCAACTTATAGAGGTGCGTTCTGTACTTTTCCGAAGGAAAACAAGGGTGAGGTAACCCGGTGAGGTCATAGGGTGAATTTGGTAACAGAGTAACCTTTCGGTGCCCCTCCTCACAATGACTTGCTTGTTGTTTTCTCTCCTGTTCTCCCTGTGTGCAGCTGGGAGCCCCCTGGGATTGGCCTCGAGGCCCCATGGTCTGCCCTCTTGACATCATCTTCCGCGCATGCTCCACCATGCACGCCTGGTAACCATGCATGCCTGATAACCATGCACATCTGGTAACTGGTAACAATCCACACTGGTAACCATGCACACCTAGTAACCATACATTGTAACCCTGGTAACCATGCCGTTCTGGTAACCATGCACACCTGGTAAGCATGCACTCCTGGTAACTGTGGTATGCTACCTGGTAAGTAACCATGTACCGGGCACACTTGGTAACAATGGTAACCATGTATAACTGGTGTGGTAACCATGCTCACCTGGTAACCATGCACGCCTGGTAGGCATAAATACACCTGGTAACCATGCACACCCAGTAACCAGTACACCTGGTAACCATGCACACCCAGTAACCAGTACACCTGATAACCATGCACACCCAGTAACCAGTACACCTGGTAACCATGCACACCCAGTAACCAGTACACCTGGTAACCATGCACACCCAGTAACCAGTACACCTGGTAACCATGCATGCCTGGTTGGTAACCATGCACACCTGTTACTAGCCATATTGGTAACATGCGTACTGCATTCGAGGTCAATTTACTCAATCTTTCAGTATGAGAGTTTCTTTCCTCTTTTAGTCAATCTTTGTTCTTCTGTTTCGAAAGAGTCACATGCTTTCTCTCAAAACTCACTCTCGAGTCGAACTGCCCTGTGTAGGCTTGCAGTGACTTACGAGGCGACCCCATCCATCTGCTCCTCCCCCTCCCCCCCCCCCCATTCGGATTGCACATGCACAACCCCATGGAAGCCACAGCCCTGTGTGAGGAGTCTATTTTTGAGGCGCCTCAAAATTAGACTCCTCTCGCAAAACTCACTCTCGAATCGAACTGCCCTGTGTAGGCTTGCAGTGACTTACGAGGCGACCCCGTCCATCTCCTCCTCCCCCTCCCTCCCCCCCCATCGGATTGCACATGCGCAACCCCATGGAAGCCGCAGCCCTGTTCAGGTCACAGCTCCTGCTATCACTCACTCCCCTTCTCTCTCTGCCCCTATCCCCCTTTCAGGCTGGCATCAGACGAGGACCACGTGGCCGTGCTGCACATGCGCAGCCCCATGGAAGCCACAGCCTGTTCAGGTCACAGCTCCTGCGAGCTGGAGCTGTGAGCTGTCCCCACCTCACAGCCCACTCACTCCCCTTTTCAATTGGTCCCAACCCCCCTTTCAGGCTGGCATCAGACGAGGACCACGTGGCCGTGCTGCACACTCGCAGCCCCAGCACTGCCGGGGGGGCCTCCTTTTTGCGCTTCATTGCCGCTTGCTACCTCACCCATAGGTACTCGCGCTCCACTCCCCCTCTCTCTATTCCCCTCTCTCGCTTCTCTCGTGCGTCTTGCCTCCCTAACGTGTCTCCCCCATCTCCCTCCTCACTGTCTCCTCTCTTCCTATGCTTTCTGCACTTCAATGACGCATGCCACCTCACCCACTGGCATTGTCACCTTGATCCCTCTCTCCTCTCTCCCCTCAGCCACAGACCTTCATGTTACCCCCAATGCCTCCACACCACCCTCCACCCCTACATTTCCACTGCCCTCCTCCCCCCACCCCCCACCCCCCACCCCCCCCTCCTCGTTCCCCCCGCCCCTCCCCCCTCTCTGTCCCAACGCCCTCCCCCAACCAGTGCAGAGTTCGCCAGTGCATGGCAGGCCCCTGCTTCGGCTCTAATCCCCAGGCCCTATGTTGGAAAAAACAAATCGTGAACCCTATGTACGCTTGCGTGAATAAACAAGCGTACCAAACGCGAACCCTATGATGCAGACAATGAGCACCATGAGGCAGACAACAAGCAGCAAGTCGACAACAAACAGCATGATGCAGACAGCTAGCAGCATGAGGCAGACAACGAGCATCAGGAGGCAGACAACAAGCAGCAAGTCGACAGCGAACAGCATGATGCAGAGATGGAACATGATGACGTCGACAGCGAGCAGCATGATGCCGTCGACATCGAGCAACATGATGATGACGGAAAGATGGAGCATGATGCCGACCAGAGGCAATAAGGGCTTCCACATGCAGAGAGGCAGCTCCACTACGCATTGTTGGTCTTGTGCGAATGGCGCGTCCCTCTGTCACGGATGATGCCGCGCTCCCAGATCCACCTTGCCCCTCCGCATGTGGAAGCCCTTTCTGCCTCTGGCCGGCATCATGCTCCATCTCTCTGTCGGGATCATGCTGCTCGATGTCGGCGGCATTATGCTGCTCACTGTCGGCGTTATCATGTTCCATCTCTGCATCATACTGTTCGCAGTCGATTTGCTGCTTGTTGTCTGCCTCATGATGCTCGTTGTCTGTTTATTTTCGCTCGCTGTCTGCATCATGTTGTTCGCTGTCGACTTGTTGCTTGTTGTCTGCCTCATGGTGCTTGCTGTCTGCATAGGGTTCGCGCTTGGTACGCTTGTTCATTCACGCAAGCGTACATACGCAAAACGCTATAGAGGAGGGGGGCGGGCACGCAAAGAATTTGCTGGCTCGGATAGGTTAAAAACAATTTCCGGGCAGGGAATGGGAAGTTACGGTGTGGAGGGGGGTGGTCAGCAGTTGGGATTGGGGGCTGGTGCACTTCGAGTTCGAAATTCAAACTTGAGGTTGAGTTCGCGATGTGCGAACCCCGGTTCTGAGTTCACCCAGTCGCGAACAATCGCATTTTTTTGGGGGATTTTTTTTCCGATCAGCCCATGCGTTTTTTGGTGCATGCACACAAAAGACGCAGCGTACGTATTTTTGGTGCATTTCAACGCAGTACGCAAACACAATTGTGCATTTTTTTCCAACATAGCCCAGGCCCTTGACCCTGAACCCTGAACCTTGAACCATGAACCCTGAACCTCCGTAATCCTCTCCCAACTCCTCCTCACCACCCGCCCACCCATCCCCAACCGCCTCCCCCAACCAGTGCAGAGTTCGCCAGTGCATGGCAGGCCCTCGCTTCCCTCCCGCAGCCCCTCGGCCAGTCAGCATGTGCCACGTGGCACGCTCTCCCTTGCTCTGGGGTGACTGAAGGGCAGCAGGAGGGGGAGAATGGGGGCCAGGGGGATGGGAAGGGGCAGGGGGAGGGGAAGGGGCAGGCGGAGGGGAAGGGGCAGGGGGGGAGTGGGGAGTGGGAGGAGGTGGGAGGGCAGCGTGGCAGCATGGCACAGTACCGCTATTGCGGCTATGTGGACGAGTTTGTCAAGGCGGGGCAAGGGGATGAGGTGGGTACCAGGGTTCAGGGGTGGCGTGCCATGAGTGCTATAGGTGTAGTGCTCTGTCGGCAAATGTCCTTCCCTCTCTGCCCTCCTCCATTTCTCTCTGCCGGCTGGCGGTCAGCCTCCCTCCCTCCTTGACGCCATCCTCTTCCTCCTTCTCTTTTACTCCTTGACTCGCCTGCCCGAATGTCTCCCTTCGGCATCCTGCTGGGTCTACCTCTGCCCCGCTCTGCTGACCCACTTGAAGAACGGCCACCGCGTCCTGGCTTCCCAAGCTATGCCATAGCCTCTCACTCAACGGTCCCCTGCATGAGAACTGGTCACTTGGGATAAGTGATGCTGTATTCAAACTGTGCAAGAAACAAACAAGCGAGCAAGATTCAGAGCACTAGCAGCTACCCTATATACAATTGCTACTGCTAGGCAAAGGATCCTGTGAAGCGGGACGGATCCCCGTCCTGTCGACAGCTTCAGGCATGCCATGCTATGGTACACATTCGCAAGCATGCACAGGCCATTCCTGTACAAGCTCCTCCCAACGCCTCCCAACCTGATCCCTTGGTCATCACGAATACACTCTGCTCACCCAATCAGGACCGTGCTACCTCATCACCCTGGAGTCACTCAGCTGTCCCTCCTTCGCGGTATGTCGTTGATGGCTTGGTCCGAACCGGTTCCTGCCGGACCTTTATACTCGCGAACAATCAATTCCCTCTTGCCCAGCTACACCGCGATTCTCCATACCACTCGCTTATAACTCTGTTGCAGAAATGGGAAGCAACCCAGTTCTGCGACAGCTCTTATCCTGGGCTCAACACTGGTTTCGAGGGAGGGGGGGGGGGGGTGCGCATGGCAGCATGGCACAGCACCGCTACTGCGGCTATGTGGGCGAGTTTGTCAAGGCGGGGCAAGGGGACGAGGTGGGTGCGCTGTGTGTGTGTGGGTTGGCGGGGGGGGACGTGCGTGCGTGTGCTCCCAGCCGTCCACGCCCAGCCGTCCCTTGCATCTCTGCCGCCCGCTGCTCCGACTCATCTGAAGCTCAATGGTCTTTCTCTCACACTCCTCCCCCCTCTTTCTTCCCCCCGATTCTCTCCCTTCCCTCCCCCATTTCTTCCCAGCCGTCCCTTGCATCTCTGCCCCCCGCCGCTCCGACTCATCTGAAGCTCAATGGTCTTTCTCTCACACTCCTCCCCCCTCTTTCTTCCCCCCGATTCTCTCCCTTCCCTCCCCCATTTCTTCCCAGCCGTCCCTTGCATCTCTGCCCCCCGCCGCTCCGACTCATCTGAAGCTCAATGGTCTTTCTCTCACACTCCCCCCCCCTCTTTCTTCCCCCCGATTCTCTCCCTTCCCCCCCCCACTTCTTCCCAGCCGTCCCTCGCATCTCTGCCCCCCGCCGCTCCAACTCATCTGAAGCTCAATGGTCTTTCTCTCACACTCCCCCCCCCTCTTTCTTCCCCCCGATTCTCTCCCTTCCCCCCCCCACTTCTTCCCAGCCGTCCCTCGCATCTCTGCCCCCCGCCGCTCCAACTCATCTGAAGCTCAATGGTCTTTCTCTCTCACTCCTTCTGCCCCCTGCTTTCTTACCCCTGATCCCCCCCCCCCCCCCTCCCCCCCCCTCCCCCCCGGCTTCCCAGCCGTCCCTCGCAGCTCTTCCCCCTGCCGCTCCGATTCTCCGGAAACTTATTCTCAGCGCGTGCCCCTCCATTGATGGGGCCGGCGTCTTTCGTCCTTATCTCAAGGTAGGTGGGCCGCCTTTGTCTCTAGCAGCGGATGGCAGCATCCATTGTCTTGTCAGCATGTAAGGGGGGTATGCTGCAGGCATTTGTGCACGCATGGGTGCGTATGCACCTACATAGATGCATGCATGCGCCCTTTAGTGCATGCATGTGTGCACATATGCCACATGCATATTTTTATCCTTTCGCTTATTCCATTGTCCATGGCGCATGCTGCATGGCTCTTGCATGTGCCTTGTGACTATGTGGCAGGTGTTTCGGAGGGGGGCGGAAGTGAGCAGCACTGTGCTCCCTGGGGAGGTGAGGCGTGCGGGTAGATGGTGGGGATTGAGGGGGTGGAGTCAGTTGGGTGGGGGAGTAGAGGTGAGATGGGGGAAGTGGGAGTATATTGCGTGGGGGAGTGTGGGTGAGATGGGGAGTGCATTGGAATCCATAAAAAAGCAGCCATACAAGAAGAGTGAAGCAGCAGTGTGGGCGGGAGGCAGGAGTATTGTATTCAAAGGGCACCATCCATCCATGTTGCTCCCCCTTTGAATTCCCCCCTCTCTCCCCTCTACCTCTAGGTGTCTCCCTCCTTCGCCGTCCCACCGGGCCACCGCTCACCATGGATGGTGCCCTTTGGATACAACGCCACTGCTCAACCGCGTGCCGATACCAGTCTCCTCACCTTTCCTTCTCCATCTCTCCCCACTGCCTTTCAGGTGCCCCCCTCCTTCCCAACTGGCGCTACCTGGATGGTGCCCTTTGAGGTCAACGCCACTGTGTCTTTGATCGTCTGCCAGTGCCAATTTCTCTGCCTTCTCCTCTCCATCTCTCCCCACTGCCTTCAGGTGCCCCCCTCCTTCCCAACTGGCGCTACCTGGATGGTGCACTTTGAGGTCAACGCCACTGTGTCTTTGACCGTCTGCCAGTGCCAATTTCTCTACCTTCTCCTCTCCATCTCTCCCCACTGCCTTCAGGTGCCCCCCTCCTTCCCAACTGGCGCTACCTGGATGGTGCACTTTGAGGTCAACGCCACTGTGTCCTTGACCGTCTGCCAGTGCCAATTTCTCTGCCGTCTCCTTCTCCATCTCTCCCCACTGCCTTTCAGGTGCCCCCCTCCTTCCCAATTGGCGCTACCTGGATGGTGCCCTTTGAGGTCAACGCCACTGTGTCTTTGACCGTCTGCCAGTGCCAATTTCTCTGCCTTCTCTCCATCTCTCCCCACTGCCTTCAGGTGCCCCCCTCCTTCCCAACTGGCGCTACCTGGATGGTGCCTTTTGAGGTCAACGCCACTGTGTCTTTGACCGTCTGCCAGTGCCAATTTCTCTGCCTTCTCCTCTCCATCTCTCCCCACTGCCTTCAGGTGCCCCCCTCCTTCCCAACTGGCGCTACCTGGATGGTGCCCTTTGAGGTCAACGCCACTGTGTCTTTGACCGTCTGCCAGTGCCAATTTCTCTGCCTTCTCCTCTCCATCTCTCCCCACTGCCTTTCAGGTGGCCCCCTCCTTCCCAACTGGCGCTACCTGGATGGTGCCTTTTGAGGTCAACGCCACTGTGTCTTTGACCGTCTGCCAGTGCCAATTTCTCTGCCTTCTCCTCTCCATCTCTCCCCACTGCCTTCAGGTGCCCCCCTCCTTCCCCACTGGCTCGGCCTGGATGGTGCCCTTTGAAGTCAACGCCACTGTGTGGGGCGACTGTGCCTTTGCCGTGCACAACTGGACAGGTAACAACTGGGGAGGGACATGGCTTCTGCATGTATCCCAAGTGTGTAACAACTGGGGAGGGGCGATCGTCATAGTTATCATCTGCACCTCTGTTTTGGGCGACTGTACTTTCGCCGTGCACAACTGGACAGGTAACATCTGCACAGGTAGGACCTGTGAGGTAGCAGCATTTGGATATATGTATGACATTCTCGGCCTCAGCACCTGCTTACATTGTAGTGTCATACACATTTTGCCTAGTTTCTCTTGCTTTCTTCAAAACACCCCTCACTCTAGGTAAACCCTGAGTCTCTAACAATAGCCCACTTCGCCCCCACTTTTTTCCCAACCCGCCTCACTTCATCCTCTATTTCCCAAGCAACAGCAGCAGGGACGAGAGCAGGTCTTTGTTTGTCTTTGCCACTCTCTGATACCCCTCATACCCCTCTCGACCCCCTCACCTCACCTCACCTCACCTCTCCTCACCTCACCTCACCTCTCCTCACCTCTCCTCACCTCTCCTCACCTCTCCTCACCTCACCTCACCTCTCCCATCCCCAGGCAACAGCAGCAGGGACGACAGCGAGCCTGTGTTCGTATTCGCCTTCCACTCTGCGTTCCTCCGCATCGGCCTCACCAGAATAACCCTCCACGAGGTAACGCCTGAACAGCTCTTCACTAGATAGTGCCTTCACCCGAAGCCGTTCACTCCGCCTTCCATTCTGCTTTCCTCCATATCGGCCTCACCAGAATAAGCTTCCACAAGGTACCACCTGAATAGCACTTCACTAGACAGCTGAACAGCGGTTCTCTGCAGTACTGCCCTCCACGAGGTAATGCCTGAATAACACTGCACGAGGTAACACCTGAATGACCGTGCACGAGGTAAAGCCCAAATAACCCTGCACGAGGTAACGCCTTCCTAGAGTGGCCTGACGTGTGGTAGCACCCGGCTGACTTCTTAAACTTACCCCCCGGCTCTCCCCCCCCTTTCCCGTTCTGCTCCCCCTCCCTTCCCAGCTCGACTGTCCATACGGGGGCGATATCCAGGTGCCAGCTGACTTCTCTATCGACGTGCATTCCCCTCTCCCGTTTCCCCCCATACCCTACCTTCCGTGCCTCCTTCCGTCTCCCCCCCTCGCAGCTCGACTGTGCATACGGGGGCGACATCCAGGTGCCAGCTGACTTCTTTATTGACGTGCTTATTGAGATGCCCCGGCCACGCGGCAGCACGCCATTCGCCGGCGCTGATTCTTCTGACAACGCACCAGGTGGCGCGATGCTGAGCTGGCAGCAGCTGCTGGCGGCGTACCGGAATGACCCTGAGGACGCTGCCAGGAGGCAGCAGCAGGGGAGGGAGGAGTCAAGGCAAAATGGTGACGCAATGAGGGAGAGCAGGGAGAAGAGGGGCCAGCAGATGGGTGGGGCAACGAGGCCGGGGGGTGGGATCTCAGCCGCTGAGGAGAGCGGGGCAGCAGCAGATCAGAGGAGCATTGCCCGGAGCTTGGTGCATGAGGTGCAGTCGCACCCTCTCCTGCGACTCACAGGGCAAACAGGCGTTCTATTAAGCATGCCGGCCGTGACAGGGACCAGCACACTGGCCCTGCAGTCAGCCCAACCTGCCATCCCTGCAGATTCTTCTGGTTTCCTCCAATCAAGAAGCAACAACAGCCTCCCTTTCCTCCCTCTCTCGTTTGACACACCCACTCCTGCCTTTCCCCCCTCTCCCTCTCACCACGACCTCTCCGTCACTCCCACCCCACCTCACATGCCGCCCTCCCCCCACTCGCCCCTTCCCCACGATTCCTCCCCTTCTCCATCCCTCCCCCACGATTTTAGCTCCTCTTTTTCCTCCTCCACCCCTCCTCCTCCTCTCTCCTCCGCCCCCCCTGCTGTTGCACCTCCCTCCCAAGACCTAGACTCTCTAGCGGACCTGCTCATCCGCATGTCCCTTTCCACTGGCACGCGCCACAGCATGGGGGGCGGCGGTGCAAAGGCGAAGGGGATGGGGGGGGAGCTCCACAGTGTGGGGGGCGGCAGTGCAAAGGCGAGGGGAATGGGGGGCGACAGGCCGAGCATGGGGGGTGCGCAGGAGATGGCGGGGACACGCCAGGGGATGGAGGGTGCGTGTCCGCATATGGAGGGGGGATCAGGGCAGGCTTTTATGTCTGGGCGGGATGCTGGGGAAGGAGGGGAGAGCATGTGGGAGGGGAAGCGGGGGGAAAGGAAGGGGGGGGAAGCAGCACAAGGGGGAGGGGATGAGACTGCAGGACAAGGGCTGGACAGGGGATGGGATGATGGAGAAGTGAGAGGAATGAGAGAAGGAGTGAGGGTTGGGCAGTTAGAGGGAGTGAGGGAGGGAGAGAGAGAGGGAGCGGGGGAGGAAGAGAAAGGAGTGAGGGAGGAAGAGGAAGTACGAGTGAGGCAGGGGAGTGAAGTGGGAGGAGTGTGGAGGCCAGAAGCGGCTGAAGTGGGTGGGGTTCACTCCTGCCAAAGTGCTCCTGCTGTTTCCAACGGTCACACAACAAGGGAAGCAGCGACACCTGTGCCTCAAGCAAACGGCCTCCTAGGGCCCTCACAGGAGCCTAGGTTTGAACCCAGGGAAACGGCGAGTCGTGGCACCAAGTCTACTCACCAGCTTCCGCGTCCTCCCCCCCTTCCCCTTACACCCTCGGGTAGTAATGCCCCTGCTCCTCCTTTCCCTCACCCTTCTACCCCCTCTCCTTCCCTGTCTACCCCCCTCAAGCCCAAAACGGTTCCGTCCCCTTCTGCTCCTCCTCCTCCCCCGCCTCCCCCTCCCCCACTCTCCGGCCTCCCCCCCCCTCCCCCTCCCCCTATGCGCCTGGCCTCAGGCAAACTGGCTGCGCCTGGGATGGGGGGAGACAGGGGCGGAGGGGAGGGGGAGAATGGAGAGGGGGGAGGGGGCCTTTGCCCTCCTGCCCGCCCCTTGCACTGGACTAAAGTGGCTAATGTGAAGGGGACAATATGGGAGGATATAGAGAGGGGAGGGCTAGTTGGTAGAGGGGGGGTGAGTCAGGGGGAGAGACCAGGGATGGGGGGCGGTGGTGAGGAGAGTGAGAACAGCAGCAGTCTTATATCAAAGGTGACTCTACCAGATGAGATGAGGCGAGCCGTCCGGGTGCTGTTTCAGGTGAAAACCACAAAGTCGGGGGGAATGTCCAAGACAGGGGGAGGCTCGCAAGGGGAAGGGGGAGGCACAGGGGTTAGGAAGGGGTTAGGAAAGGACGAGCTGCAGGTGGTTGGTTTAGCTAGGGCTAACAATGTAGCAATCATGCTGACTCAATTCCGCATGCCGGAAAATCAAATCCGGGATCTGATCCTCGCAGGAGATCCCTCACACGTACTGCCACCTGACCGCCTGGGCCTGCTACTTCAGGTGATTCCAACAGAGGAGGAGGCGGCGCGGTTCAGAGCTGTTTCAGGTGCTGCTTCAGGTGCCATGTGCCCACCTGAGCGGTTCTTATGGTCCATGGCTTTAATTCCCAGGCTGAGGAGGAAAATCGAGGCGCTTATGTTTGCCCGGCACTTCCACACCATAGTCAACGACGCCCGGGCAGTCATAAAAGTTTTCAGTTCTGCTGCCCGAGCGATTCGAAGCAGCGAGTTTCTCCGGGCGGTGCTGGCAGCGGCACTTGAAGTGGGGAACGAGCTCAACCGAGGCAGTGCAAGGGGTGAGAAGGGGTTGAGAGGGGTGAGAAGGGGTTGAGAGGGGTGAGAAGGGGTTGAGAGGGGTGAGAAGGGGTAGGATTAGAGGGTAGTTGTGAGGAAGGAGATGAAGCAGAGAGAAGGGGGGGCGAGGGAGGAGGGTGAGAGAGCAGATGGTATGAGTTGCTTCTGGATCTCGATTCGTTCAACTCCTCCTCTCCTTCCCCTCTCGTTCTCCTCCCCCCCCCCCCAAACCCAATCTTCCTTCTACTCCCACACACGCGGTTTGCCCTGGGTTTTTCTCTCGATTCTCCTGACCCTCCCACCCCCCCCCCCCCCACCCATGCCAGGCTCTGCCCGAGGGTTCTCTCTAGACTCCCTTGAGCTGACTTTTTTTAGTCGACTCAAAACCCATCCTCTCCTGCCCCAACCATGCCAGGCTCTGGCCGAGGGTTCTATCAAGACTCCCTTGAGCTGACTTTTGAGTCGACTCAACACCCATCCTCTCCCCCCCCCAACCATGCCAGGCTCTGGCCGAGGGTTCTATCAAGACTCCCTTGAGCTGACTTTTGAGTCGACTCAACACCCATCCTCTCCCCCCCCCACCCATGCCAGGCTCTGCCCGTGGGTTCTCTCTAGACTCCCTCGCCCGCCTCTCAGAAGTCCGCATCACGCCGCCCTCTCACCGTGCCGTGCCCTTCGAGCCCGACCAATCGCCACAGTCCCACCGTGCCGTGCCCTTGGAGACAGAGTCAGCAGCGCGAGGGACTCAGCCCAGCCAAGCAGCAGCTGCTAGTACGCATAGTCAGCAGCGCGAGGACAGTCAACAGGGCCAACAAAGTCAATCCCCAAACACCTCTCGAGGACTGCCTTCCGGCTCGCCATTCCTGCGCACACAGTCCTTTCCCGCCACACGAGCCAACCCTACCTCCTCTTCCCCGTTTTCCTCCTCGTCTCCCTCCTCCTCTGCCCGTCCCTCCTCCCCCTTCCCCGCCTCTGCTACCATCACTGCCACTACAGCTGCAGCCTCCCCCTTCCCCTCCCATCCTGCACCCCTCATCGCTCGTGTGACCACACTTCTCGACGTGGTGGTCATTCTGGTCAAAGAAAGTGGCTGCTTGGACGCCTTGGGGAGACACGAAAGCCTGGAGAAGCTGACAGTAGAGCTGGCAGCAGTGGGGGAGGCTGTGCGGACGTCCCAGGTAAAATCATCCATTTGGCAAACGTGCAGGGGTATGGGTGGTTGCAGAGGGGTGAAATTGCAAGGAAAATGAAGGGGGAGCCAGCAGCAGTGGGGGAGGCGGTGAGGACGTCCCAGGTGATGCGTTGATGGTGCTAATGGCCCCTCCGTTTCCCCGTTCCATTCTGCCTTATACTTCCTTCTCATCCCAGGCTGACGTGGCAGATGCCACATCAGCACTCGACACGGGCCTGCGATTGGTGGGTGATGAGGTGCGGCTTCTGCAGCAGGAGAAGGAGCAGGCGAAGGAGCAGGAAGAGAAGCAGGGGGAGCAGCAAAAGAAGCAGCAAGGAGTGAAGGAAGAGATTGAGAGGGAGGGGAACAAGCGGGAGCCGAAGGAAGAGGCAGCGAATGGGAAGGAGGAAGGGAAGGGCGGCTTGCTGGCTGTGTTGACAGAGTTCAGGTCGCAGGCAAAGAAGGAGAGGGAGGACCTGGCTAAGGATGCTGACGAGTGCAGGTAAGCACGATGTGACGCCATGTTTCTGTCGTTACAACTTGGTTCAGAAGCACAGGGAAATGCCAGTGGGGTAACTTTCGTACACCAATAAAAGTCACTTGTGCTTCAAAGTCTCTGTGAAATTGGTGCGTGCCTTAGCATTCTATTTTTGAGTCGACTAAAAACTAGGCCTTAGCATACGAGTTGTTCTCGTTGCCTTGTCATCAGGTCAACGCTTCAGCAGCTGGCAAAGAGTCTATTTTTGAGTCGACTGAAAAATAGGCCTTAGCGTTCGATTTTTGAGTTGACTAAAAAATAGGCCTTAGCATTCGATTTGTGAGTTGACTGAAAAATAGTCCTTAGCATTCGATTTGTGAGTTGACTAAAAAATAGGCCTTAGCATCCTATTTTTCTCGTTGCCCTGTCATCAGGTCAACGCTTCAGCAGCTGGCCGCGTACCTGGGAGAGTCCAAACCGCAGCCTTCGACCTCAGACGTAAGATGATAAGATCCCCTTCTCGTCCAACCACCTACGTTTCTGAAGTAGTATCCAAGCTCTTTTTGCTACGTTTCGCAAGTAGGTTGCTTCGCTCGACTCTTCTCGCTTTCCCCATGTTCAAGCGCTTTCTTCATTCCCCACTGGTCATTTCCCAATGCGGGCAGTGTTTGCGTACCTGTGGCCCTTTGCCATAGCTTTTTACCTGGCAGAAGCCGCACTTGACCTATGACACTTTGCGACCTTGCAAATTACAATGACTCGCACCCATGACCACTTCTCCTTTTCCTGTGCAGGCGCTGTTTGCATCCCTGTGGTCCTTTGCCATGCTCTTTGACAGAGCACAGACAGTGCTTGACCTTTGACATTACCTTCAATAACACTTCCATCCATGACAACTGACGACTTCATTACCCTACCACGAGGACACGTCATGCCGCAGAGCACACGTCTGGTATGGAGGAGTCAATTGGCCATTAGATGACTGCACGAGTCTACGTACCTTGAACAATAACATGTGCACGAATCAAGTATTTCAAACATATGTTTCCCCTCTTCGTCTTGGGGCATATTCTTACGAGCTGATATACGTATTCGTCTCAATTGATATCCAGTTTGATGATGTTTTACCATGCTTTCTGACTCCGTGCCATCGTTAATACAACAGACCTCGAACGTATTGAAGTTAAAAGAAAAAAAACAAGAGACGACGCAATCGTCTTAGGGTTGCGGAGCATTTTTATATAGGTATATTTATTGTGTTTAAAATTACCCGCATGTATATGTATAACTTCAAAGCGTAAGTATCTGTAAACTTCTAACAATGGATTAAAACATATACTATGTAAGTATTAAATAGATGATTTGTGTTATAGTGCATTAATAAAAGTACATGCAATCACAATGTTAATGCATCTAATACAAGTAGGACATATTATTGAGTTTCTACATTTTTTACACTATATAGAAATGGGCTTTAAGTTATTCATCGTCCGATACTGTTCTTAAATCGTGCCACGCTGTTGGAACTAGTTTCTTTTGTTGTTCATTTCTGCTTGTACAGTTTCTTGAATAGTTTTGTTCCTTATTGCTCAACTGTAGACCTGTTTCCGTAATGTTTCTTTTGTTTTGCGTGCGTTTGGATTGGTTTTTTTTTTTTTTTTTTTTTTTTTTTTTTTTTTTTTTTTTTTTAACCTTTCCGCCAAATGCCCAGCCGTCGGGAGTTTCCGTTTTCATTTTGTTTAATTATTTGTTGACTGTGGCCACTGTTGACTTGTGGCGAGCGAATCTGGCCACCTGGCAATGCTGATATTTTTTTCCCAGTGGCGAGGCTCGTCACGCGTAACTGCCAGACGGAAATATAATCCGACGTGGCAATGACACCAGCCTAGCAACACTCGCCACAGAATGCTGATTTTTTTCCCGTCAATAAGAGGCAAAACCCCCGAGCTCGCCACTGGATGCATTACGCGTTACACACTCGAATTTCTGAGTTACACTACCGATAGTTTTGGTTAAATAACACGATTACGCGAATTTCAGTGCGATGGGGCACTTTCTGACCGAGAAAAAAAACAAATCTTCTTTCAGAGCTGCAAAACCGCGGCTGTTTGAACGCTCCTTCTCTGCCTGCGGGTTCAGTGCTGCAGAAACGTGAATTCCTTATGCTCGATTCTTCCTCCTCTATACTTCTATCTCACGTTTTTCTCTTCCCCACTTCCAGCAAGTCTGGTGATTAGGCAGCAACATGACAGCAGCTACGACTGCCTTTTCTTATCGCAGCTGTACGACAGACTACTCCAGGTCGGCATTAAGAGTGGCTTGATGACATTTTCGTGTAGTCGTATCTTACTAGTTTCTCAATGTTTCTTCTCTCGTTTTTTCCTCAAGCTAGTAGAGGAAACGTAAATGGTCTCTTTCAGCTTAGGTACTCGGTACGGATTCTCATCTGTCGTTTCCCCTCTCCTTTGCCCGCCTTTTCACCCTCCTAGTCCGTCGTAACCACTTCTTTGCCCGCCGTCTCCCCCCTCCTTGCATGTCGTTTTACCCCTCTCTCTCTCTCTCTCTCTCTCTCTCTCTCTCTCTCTCTCTCTCTCTCTCTCTCTCTCTCTCTCTCTCTCTCTCTCTCTCTCTCTCTCTCTCTCTCTCCCTCTCTGCCTCTCTCTACCTCTCTTTCAATTTCTCTCTCTTCGTCTCTTTCCTTTCACCATCACATTTTGTGTTAACTTCCCATGCCTATTCGTTCTCGGCCTAGCTGCTTGTTGTTCACTCCTTTCATACGCAATGCCTAATATAATATCCACTTTAATTTTGTGCAGGTTTACTTGTAAACGCGTTTATGAGTTCCCTACGGCGTTTTGCTGTAATTCGTTGGGATGTTCAATTACCGTATCTCATTTTCAGCTTTATATTCTTATAATTGCTGGCGTCCTGTGTTTGGTCTGATGTGTCTTGCTGCTGTTATTTGCTCTCATTCTCGATCCACAGCAATGCATGTCTGTATTTCGAAAAAAGAAAGCATGCTTATCAAATCACAAACGGTTCACAGGCGAGCTCCTTGAATTTCTGTCTCGAACTGGATTTGATAGGTTTTGGTTCTTTTTTTGGACATAACAGATTGCGTTGCTCCATCATTCAGACACTAGGTTTGCTGACTTCCCCCCCCATGCTAGCGCTGGGGAAGCGGTAGCTTAGAGTTTGAGTTTTTCACTGTCACATAATCATCAAAAAAAAAAATCATGTCATAAATGATGACATGAATTTTCTTGCACGACTCGATTGGATCCGTACACAACGATGTGATGCAATCAAACAAGAGGCCTGCCAAAATTTCACAGTACATCAGAAATTAACCAAATATGATGCAAATATTATTTCAAAATAGATGCATTTGATTCCTATCATAGAATAAACACCTCTAGCATTTTGTTACATTCATAGGAAGAGAACAAAAACTGCAGGTCATATTTTTTTGTGCAAAGGTTTTCCATACAAACTTTTGAGTGAAAAAAAAAAATCGGCAAAATCGATCGTAATAGGTTGCTCCGCAACCCAAAAAAACTTAATTAGTCAATCTCAGCACTGAATCTGGATGTACCATGAATAGCCTCGAGATAGAGCATACCGGTACATCAAGTGTGCATGAGGAAGATGTGAAAAGAAGCTCGTTGCATGTTTGTTTGTATCTGCTTTGTTTCAGCTTCCACTTGTAGCTCGTATCCGTTCGCGTCGTGAAGTAGCACAAATAGCCCCAACATAAACCCTAGGCTGGTTGGAGGTTGGGCGAATATAGAGGTTCACCGAGCCGTGCTTTCTGGTTCGTCTTGTTCGGTTGTCCGCATCCCCAAGCGCCAAGGGGAAAGAAGTTTCCGTACCAACACTCCCTTCATAGCCAAACCGCGCACAGCGGGCCGCGGTGCCCCTGGACGCGACTCGGCTCAAGGTTTGCACGTGGGGCCTTGGGATGTGGGGGATAGCATGGCGCACACGGCCCTTTCACATTTTCAACCCCCGCATTACACGATAAAAGCGCGAGAGAAATGGGCTCCACCAACAGAGCGCATTAAAGCAACTCGAATTATCCAAGCAGCTCAATCTTCGCATCAATTCGACAACACACTTCAACCGCCCCTGTCAACACCAACTGCCCATCTTTTTTGAATCAATCTCGTCGCCACGTGTCCAGGTGCATGTGGAGTGCACGTTGCAAGTAGACCCGCTTTCCGCTAAGAAGTTCGACCAGCAGTGTACACCCAGCATCGGTATGTGAAAAGGAGCAACGACAGTAGAGGCAAAGGCATGTGCTAGGCTCCTCGTTGTCATACTTCCTCTTAGGTAAAAGGTTTCTCAGGGTGTATTCCTGAATTTGTGTCGCCCGGGTCTTACACAAGCTCAGGAATGGACCCTCTTCATTTCTTTGTGTGTTCACTTGCCTTTTTAGAGCATTGCTTAAGGAAGAAAATTAGCACATGATGTAACCAAAATATTGTTAGAAGCTAGAATGAATGGTTAGCACAATTGAGAACAAGGGAGATATATGGTTTGGGTTGTACCCACTAAGAACATACCCTATCTAGTCTAAAACTTCTATATAACAATATATGTATAAGTTGACACACTCCCTAGGCTAGATAAGAGGTAGTGCTGAGCAAGAAACACACAGCTTAGGGTGGCACTACTAGTCCAACCTCTCAGGCAGGGGCCCGAAGACCAGTCAGCAAGAGTACAAGCAAGACAAGAGCAAACCAAGGCGGCACTACTAGTCCGACCACTGGAAGAAAAGCCATAAGGCCATTTTGGAAGACATAAATATAAAGGAGTAAACAATCAAGGTCCGAGCAAGTGAGAGTCTACAGGGACTAGACCTAACTGCAAGCAGTGCCGTTGATGATCTTTAGGCGGAAGCGCCTTAGTAAAGATATCAGCTGTGTTGGCACCGGAGGCCAAGTGTACTACGTGGGCCTGGCGACGCTGTTGGAGCTCGCGCAGAAGGAAGTACCGCAGCTGGATATGCTTCGCTCTGCCCTCAAGTCGAGGCTCCTGGCACTTGAGGATCATGGTCCTGTTGTCAGCGTACAAAACCGGGGCAGAGCTAGGCCGCTCACCGAATTCGGCGAGTAAGAAGGTCAGCCAGCGGAGCTCCTATGCCACCATGGCACCGGCGTAGATCCCAGCCTCACAGCTAGACTGGGCAACAGACGAGGAGCAAGTGGACCTCAACGAGATGGCACCTGAACTAATGCTAAAGGAGTAGCCCTGGGAGGACCGGAGGGTCTCGACGTCGTCTGCCCAAGAAGCGTCTATGTGCCCAGTAAGGACCACTGGCTTGCGTTCTCCCAGCACTAGCCCCATGCCCGATGTACTCGCAAGATAACGCAAGACCCTCTTAGCGGCCGACCAGTGGTGTGGTCTACCGGCAGAGGTGTGCATGTGGCGACGAAGCGGGCCAGGATGCTGAGAGGGTATGCGAGATCTGGACGAGTGCAAGTCATCAGGTACATTAGGCAAACCACCAGCTCTGCGTAAGGACCACTGGGCTCTGCTGACTTCGCGGGAACTGGAGCTAAGAGCCTGTGGTCTACCGGCAGAGGTGTGGGTTGAGCGGAGGAGAACTGAAGACCGAACCTCCGAAAGACCCGGCGCACCAAGTGTGACTGTGTAAGAGTGATGGTGCGCACTGCTCTGTTCCTGGAGATCTGCAGGCCAAGGTAGCGACGCAGCTCTCCCAGGTCAGTGCAGGTGTGTCTCCTCAGCAGCTCAGTCTTCACGGAGGCCAGTGCGTCTCTGTCTGCTGTGGCGAAGACCAGGTCGTCTACGTAGACAAGGATGTAGAACAGAGTATGGCCAGCACGAACGAAGAGCGAAGGGTCAGCAGAGGACGGAAAGAACTGCAGGTCAGCTAGCGTGGCACGCAGCGTGTCGTGCCACTCACGGGGCGCCTGTCGCAGGCCGTAGACGGGGCACCGGAGGAGCCACTGGGTCCCAGGAGGGAAAGTACCGGTGAAGCCCTTAGGGCGGCGCAGGTAGATCTGCTTGTGTAGGCTGCCCTGAAGGAAAGCAGTGGAGAAGTCGAGGGAATGAAGAGTAGTCAGGCTGTGCTGCTACGTGTGGCAGCGCCCGAAGAGTAGTCATCTTCGGGG